TAGAAGAGACATCCACCACCTTAGAGACCTGCTGAGTTGACATTGTGGACATTTCTTGAAATGCAGTTTGTATCCGTGAGCCATGACCTCTAGAATCCAGCGGTATGGCGTAATCTACTTCCAATTTTCGTCGTATGACATGATCCAATTTGCCGTTGAAAGTCTTGGGAGCAGATATTGGCTGTGACATTATCATCTTCTTGGTATGGTTGGAAACAACTCTTGAGCTTATTTGTGCTAGTAGTTGTTGATGCTGAACCCAGAGTAGCTGTGAAAACATCCATGCATTCTGACTATAGTGTCTAGCAGGCTGTGGATAAGTCCGACTTAATCCGTCCTTACAGTCATAGGAGTCTCTCCAGGTATGCCTTCATATGATGTCTGCAACGGAATGATGTGCCCGATTCCGGTGACAAACCAGTTGATATAAGCGTCAATGTCCATTGAATGCCTGGACGTCTTGGACAGGTCCTTGATCTGTGAAGCAGGTAACGTGACATTAGCACTAGGGTTGCGTACTAGTTTCGTAAAATCTTTGTCCAAAACTTGATGATCCGGAAGTGGAGAGTCATGACCTCTTTTCAACTTCTGCTTCAATGAAGGTAAGGGTAGCCGGTCATCATGTCTGAGCTTGAGTAGTTTTTCAGACACCTGGTCTACCACCTTGCCTGTATAACTTGGCCACAGCAATGTCTGGTGGATGTTATGAGATGATGTAGGAGCATGAGCATCCTCCATATTCAGGCATCTTAGGCGGTGATTTTTCTGTCATAGGAGGTTGGAGTACAGGCATAAGATGATATAACTGAATGAGTTCCACAAAGGTTTATCCCTCTGTATAATCCTGCAAGGGTGAAACATCAGACTGATCCTCATTTAGGTCCTATTTCGCCTCCAAATGACTGTGGGTAGCTCCTGAGAGGGGTGGATGTTCGTAATAGTCCATACACTCAACATGTTCCCTGTGCCGTTCATCATCCGCTGGTGTCTGGATTCTGTTATGAGTAAGGTCCGTGTGGTTTGTGATGACTGCCCATGTATAACGGAGCCTGTATGGTAATCATCGGGTTACCGTGGAGTCCGTGCGGTGACCATATAGTGTCTTGTCAGTCGGCTGGGTTACTGTGGAGTCCTTGCGGTCTTAGCTGGGGAGTATGACCTTGTGGTGCCCTGACGGGACCCAAGTGGAGATCTAGATGCCCGTGTATCATGGTAGAGTAAAGCTTGAAAGCTTCTACCCGTCTGTGGCAGTGGCATAAACAGATGGCTGTCCCCCTTGCGGCTTCTTGGCCAGAGGACTCTTCTAAGCCAATACTGTTTGCCTCTTCTTTATAATCTCCATATCTTGGTTTATAGCTGAGAAGCGTGACTTAGACATCGCCTCCATCATCTCCTGCTGTTGTTTGAAGAATTGGTGAATCAAGTTCATAGAGAAGGCAGGAGATGATTCTTTCGCTGGAGCAGGGATAGAGTCAGAGGCTACTTCAGTGTCAATTGTCGCAATGACTTTCTTCTTAGCTGCTTCCCGCCTTCTAGCTTCAGTTAAAGCTTCAGCTAACTTGGTGAAGGCTTTGTTGGATAGATTTGAGCACTGGTCGCATCTTGCCTCATCTGTATATACAGCCTCTCTGCACTTCCAGCAGCTGCTATGAGGATCTCCCGTGATCATAAAATGACCACACTTCTTGCAACCAGGAGCAAAGGGAGACTCCATTATGACCACACAAAAACACCTCACACCAGCTTATACTTACACGAATACGATTGTCACTACAATTAGCAGCTATTGATATTGACTTAATGTGTCTGTTTTATAGAAAACTATTAGAACAATCTTAGACTAATGTGACTACTACCAAGTGCTTGATCATTATAATAGGTAACAATAGGTGTTGACTCTAAAACACACAGGAAAGAAGTGAGATTCATGCCATTACGCATGTCATAGTTTTGCTTGCTGTAGTGATATATAGGTTACAACTATTGTGTGTGATTGACAGTGAAGAGGACGTCTGTTAAAAATCTGTGTGAGTGAGTGAGTTGGGGTTAACACGGCTTTTAATAGTATTCCAGTTATATCGCGGCGTGTCAGCTTAATGTGGGAGGAAAGCCCGAAGTGATGCAGGTCTTAGATGTTTACCACTTCGGTGAAACCCACGAGCACGGGTATGGTGCTGACTAACCTAGAAACATAAGTTAAAAATCTGAAAATACAGGAGTTATGGCAAAGATTTAAAAGAGGTAGAGGATTCGCAAGAATTATGGTGTTACATCTGACTTCAGTCGCAGATGTCTGGGAGACAGGAATAAACAACATTTCCAAGCGCCGCGTAGACTCTTGGAACGGCGAAAGAATTTTTTTAGTGCACACACAGGGCACAGGAGTTCTTCCTCTTGAACACCCATCCTCCTGGAGATAGCTGGATTGGTGAAGGATGGGTCAGACTGTCTCGATATCTGGTTCTTAGCTATAAAATCGCAACACAGCCTAAGGTGAACTGCTCAGTGCGTACCACCCTCAAAGTGTACACAGGTCATAGAGTGCATGTAACTCGCTAACCCTTGCTGCTGGTGAGATGAAAAAAGGATGTTGCTTGGAGAGATTTGAACAGAGACCCACGCAACCCCTGAAGTACCAAATTCAAATCCTAAGCAGGGGTGTCAACATTTGGCCTTCTGATCCTCAAGCTTTAGTCATCTTACGATCCTCTGGAACACTGAATAATGGGCAATTAAGTATGTTGTAATGGTGCTGCCCTTCAGGGGTCATTTGGTACGCAAACATACGAGGTACTGAGACGACACTGCAGTGAGATCCTGATTCTTCTTTTTACAGAAAGTTTCGAAAGACTGCCACTTTTCATCATATAAGGTTTCGGGAAGAGGGATGGTGTGCCAACGCAATGGCCTTAGCTGCCTGGTATCAATAGCCTTTCGTGCCTTGGGCTCTCTTGAGATGAAACAGGTGTTTTCTGCAAAACTTCTTAGGTCTACGAACCACCTCTTTGCCGGCCACCAGAGTGCGACCAAAATCAAAATGAGGCTTTTTGTATCACTCTGGAAGTACAGGATGTGGCAAAGTGTATGCTCCTTGTACTTCCAGTGGGATGCTGAATGCGTCTACCACCCAAGCCTGCTGATCTGGGATCGGAGATATATACCTCCTCAGCTGGTAGTTTTGAAGCGTGGCGAAGAGGTCGATGTTGGCCTGAACGAACCGCTGATGCACCAGTTGAAACGCCTCTGGATGAGGTTTCCACTCCTTGGGAGGTACCATGTCTGGCCTGGACAAAGCATCCACCAACATGTTCCGGGGGTCCGGGGGTCCGGGGATGCGTTGGACTAAAATAGAGAAAGATGATCCACCAGATGAAAGAACCGGAAACGAAACGAAGCAGGAAGTGATTGTTGTCCCTTGGTTGTGCAGGCCTCAAACTGATCCATCTCTGCCAGAAGAGGCCCAGCCTCCCATCTACAGGTATGTCGACGATTGGCACCATCGGACAATCATGATTGGGAGCCAGCCTACCCCTTGTCTTGAATGTCTTGATGGTTCATTGCTTTCCCCTCTTATCCCCGATCATGTCTTGGGATTTGCGATGGCAGGACTGATCAGAGCCCTGACCTCTTCCTCGGCCACAAAAAGAAACGACAAGGGTTTAAGTGTGCGCCTGATCTTGGTGAGTCAAGTATCTGGGGTCTTAATTGTAGTTGGCTTGGACGAGCCGGCACATCCTCCGGAGGTCCTCATCAAAGGTGTGCGCCTGGTCAGCAACTTCAAAGGTGTGAGTAGGACCTTGTTGCCTTGAAGGCCAGGAAGAGGGTTAATCTGGAGAAATTCCGTGACAATGTCCCTAAGCTAGGGATCAGGTGGTATAGATGTAGGGTGGGACCAAATTGTGGCCCAATTGTCAACTCCGAGGCCGGGGATGGTACTTCCACAATCAGACGGTCCGACATCCAATCCGACATCTGGGCCAAGCTGAGATGAGTGTCCCATTCATCAGAAGAGTCAAAACCTTCAGCCATGGAACCTTACGACGCACAGGAGAGCGGTGCTTACATCGAGAAGAGACACTGGTGACGCATCCAAACCTAATAAGGGCGTAGCTGTCAACATAGAGGGTGTAGAAAATACCACAGAAGTCAGCTGCACGGCAGATGTCGCAGGATCACAGGCACTAGATGAGTCGCAGACGCTGGAGTTGATGGAGGTGCTGGAGTTGATGGAGGCACTGGCGGAACGTAAGTTGCCGGAGGTGTAGGTGCTGTCAGCTGATATACAGCCACAGGTGCTGGATACAAACGTGTCATCTATAGCTGACACACTGACAGCATGAAGGCTGCACATACATGAGCGGGAAACCAGGTAACTGGTCCTGCACAGTGGTCAGCACAGGATAACCTTGAAGATGCAGCCATCATCGACACGCCGGAGCAGACAACATTGAGATACCCGAAGGCATCTTCTTTTGGGTGTCAGAGTAGATAAATTGGATCCAGTGCTGGAAATCCAGCAAGGCCTGACGCCTTCACTGAATTGTTCACAATCACCTATCTTTGACATATTGCAAAAGTGTTATAATGTTACACCCGAAGTTCATGTATTTTTAGTCTGTCCACTTGACATAAAGAACAATGTGTCACTACAGCCTCAATCTCTTTTGCTATTTTGCCTTTCACACCCAATGGAATATGTTTCAGACAATAATCAAGACTGGTTCTTCTCTGGCATTGATGTTTTATATTTACTGAATCACCGGTGCACAGGAGCAAAACATATGACAATGGGACTGCTATTTTCAGGTTATCATTCGAGAAAATCGCACCCAATAATATTGAATATATTGTTTACACATTGAGACATACAAAACAAATACAGTAATCGAAAGTCACTTCAAATTTATCCTTGTTAGAACAAGAAATTTATTACCATTTGAGCTAATACAACACAAGATAGTTTCGCAGTATTTCTAAATGTTGTGTAATAGCTAACAAACCTGTAGCATCCATGGCTGGTACCCCAAGCTCAAGGCTTTTGTCCCTTGGTGTGGCTGCTAAACTAGGAGGTAGAGAGGATCTTGGGGTGCTTGAAGGAGTTCTGTTTGCCATGTTTTGTCTGAGATTGTGGTCAGATATCAGCTGGGAACAGGCATGGTGACCTTGTATGACTGCACAGTCATCAGCTGTCCAACCTACAACAGTTATAGACACTTTCTATTTAAAATATACGTAAATACATCACAATTCTTCTCAGATTTGTGCTTAATTTTGAATGACATCACTGTGATGGTCTGACTCCCTGAACACTGCCAGGTATATAGCTGGCCCTGGTTGTCCAAAATGAAAACTCAAGCCACAGTAACAACATAATTATTGCTTTGCGAAACAGAACAATTACTTTTATCCTAGGGAAGTTTAAACTGTCCAAAAGCTTCCCCACCAGAAACATATTGATGCATCATGAACCTATCCTTAATCCTATTGTTGTCTTATTCAAAGATAAGTCTACTGTGTTTTGAAATGTTTTGAGGAAGTCTAAATGTAGATTAGATAACTCTTATTTAAAACTGGAAGCTTAGAAATTCAAGAAAAAGCTAACTGAAGAGTCCTTTTGTTTTGTTTCTTGTGTGGCGTACTCAGGATCTGGGGGTAAATTGATATAATTAGATAAATAGAGGGTGGGTTAGTTTACAGGGATTTGGTTGGGCAACCGCATGATGTAGTATCAATCTCTGTAGTCATTTATTGTGGAAGCTTATACTCATTCGGGCGTAGAGGTGAGGATGTCACGCTGTGTGCATGCTCGGCTAGGCGGCAGCCATGTTTGAGAGGGCTGAGATGTAAGGAGCATGGTCATTGGTTGTGTCTGTTTCCCTGTCACATGGTCCATGTGTCAGCTACAAAAGCCTTCTCTGGGTAGGGAATTGTACAGGAAAAAATGCTAATGCTTAAGATATTAAAACAGCCGCAAAGCAAGCTTCTGGTATACAATATACCATTTACTGTCAAGAGTTTGATGATGCAATACAACATAGAAAAGGCACAGCACCTGGTCTTCACATAACAAGTTTCGAGATATTGAAAAACCTACCTGTAGTCCAGGCATTCTAGGCCATTTTTTCACTAAACTTGGAACAAATTGCAACAGAATTTATTTCACCAAAATGCATTTTTCTACAAGTTCCTGAAAACAACATACTAAAAGTCCCAAGCAATCCTAGTTTGGGAAATATGGCTAATTTACATAATCCAATATGGCCACCAATTATCAATTTATCTTCCATATTTCTGATGAGGTTCAATGTTTTGATAAAAAACACAACTATGTGTTGTTGTGAAATAGCCATATTATGTTTCTAAAAAGATATTCCCAACTACAGAACGTTTTCAACTATTAAGAAATCTGCACAAATTCAAGAGGGCCGCCAATTCCAAGATGGCCAACAGGTTTCCTAAATGTGTGTTTACACTGTTGAATCTTTTAACTCTAAAACAGTGTGCTAGGACTTATATGCATAAAACTTGGCACACTAGTGAGTTGGGTTTAACGCTGCTTTTAACAGTATTCCAGTTATATCATGGCGTGTCAGTTTAATGTGGGAGGAAAGCCCGAAGTGATGCAGGTCTCAGACGTTTACCACTTCGGTGAAACCCACGAGCACGGGTATGGTACTAACAAACCTAGAAACAGAATCGGGGCGAACCGGGATTTGAACCCACAATCATATGTTTCTGGCGTGGCCAAGGGACGCAATTCCGCACAGCGAATCGTGGCGCCTTAGACGACCGGGCCACCCTTGCCCCCTACTTGGCACACTAACTCACTGAAGTATAGTTAACACTATAGAACTCAAGAACTTCTGAAATTGAAAAAGCAGAAGCTAGAAATTAATGCAGAGCACATTTTACAAAGAACTGTTGACAATACAAAATAGAAAAGCCACTGCCCTTGAACGCATAGCTAATACCCAAGTGTGCAGGCATCTTGCGGCAAGGGAGACTACTCTAGTTTGGAATCTCAGGGAAATATGCATCTCCATTGCATAAGAGTTCCACCTTAGTGCTTAAGGGAGTTATAGAAGATCTTATCCTTACGATGACACTAAAGGGCGCTTTGTGAAGCCAGTGTAAAATATTTTTTAATGGCACCCTTAGCATCCTCCTAGCTGCTAAGAATGTCCTTAGCAAAGAGGGTTTTGTGCAAGCGGGCCCAGGTCAGCCGAAATTGCTAAGGCAGAAGGCGACCTCTTAAACACTTAAAGAAACAACAACAACAGGGAATTGTGTGACATCCTCTATCCAGCATTTGGTACAATCTAGTGAACTCCCGAGTCTTGTATTAAGACCTTTAGTTATCACTTTTCTATTGTCCTTCGAGGGATAATTGTTAGATTAGTGATAGTTATGGGTGGGGGAAATAAAGTAGGATTTGAATAGGTTTGTTTAGATATACTTTATTATGGGAGTTAAAGGGACAGTACATTGATGGTTCTGTGTGTTCTTAAATCATGCATGAAATAATTTCTGAGTGTGACATCACATGCGAGATGTAATTCTCAAGAGAAAGAAAGTGTTTTTTCTTATGGATAAAGTACAAAAAGCTAATTGCAAACTTGCTTAGATTAAAAGCCAGTGTTTATCAAAGCCAATTTACGATGTAAATATGCCTTGGTCATATGAAATCAATCATTCTCAAACCTCGAGTTCCTGGAGGCCAATATGCTAAAACGTGAAAAACTATTGTCATGCACATCACTGTCGCATTTGTGGTAGTATATCAAAATAATTATGTAAAACAATAAGTAAATCGCATCGATAGGCCCTCTGTAGTAGTATAGGTAATAGGGGTTCTGGACCACTTCCACTGGAGCCGGATTTACTACTACTACTACTACAGGTGGCATTTTTTATGCCAAAATGATTATGCGATTCAACGACAGTCATGAGATTAAGTTAAATTGGCTCTAGCTCACCAATACCTGGGGCCAATCATTGCTTCAGATGAGCCAAAATGGTAATAAAAATATTCTTCATTATTTTTATTGATAAAGCGATATTCAACATTTTTATTAAGTTCTTCGTTCATTTTACTAGGAGACCAGACTATATAACTACACTCTTCTTGGAAATTGATAAGAAACAATTGATAACCGTATTTGGTTGGTTTGACATCACTGATATAATAAAAACCTTGTGGTAATTCTCTCCATTTAATAGCTTTTTCGATCTCCATTATTATATATATTTATGTAAGCATTTGTCTAAATGTGATCAAACGATTAATCTCCAACCAGTTCTTTGGTTTTGGCACGGAATAATTGACGCCCTTGTTGCCTCCCCTGTTCTATGAACTTTTTTTTCTTGTCTTCGCTAATACCACTGGTCTTATGAGATTTTGATCGAATCTCCTGCTTCATTTCGTTGTATTTGGTGAGTTCTGAAAACACTAAACGAAACTCATCCTCGGATATCTTACAATCGACCATTGCTGTTGAAATATGATCCTCAATGCTGTTCAACTTTGCTTCGGCTAGTATCCGAATACTATCGTGTTTTAATGCTTTCTTTTGTAACCTACAAGAAATGAATTTTATCGGTATTCCTGCCAGTCCCGAGACTCCAGCGGCTATTTCCATGCCGAGCACGATAGGCGCGGCGATTATAGTTGATAGTAAACCAACACCTGCTACACCGAGTCCCATGCCAGCTGCTACAAGCGCAGTGTCAACTCCGTCCAGAGCATTCACACGGCTCTGCGATACTTTTTATACAATCCAAGTCTCAACTCCCTATCCTTCTCTATTCGATGTTTTATGTCGCTTATTTGATGTATGGAAATCCATCAACAGTTTCCATCTTTTCAATTGCTTCATCGAGCGCCGGATATAAACTCATAGTGTATATTACGGTCATATAATAGTCTTTAATTGGTCTTGCTTAAATGTTTTGAGAGTATACATCAATCTTATCAAATGTATATTATACGGCAAGAATATCTTAGTAAGAGAAATACTACCACTTTTAATAATTTGGACCCCCTCAAGGGTTGCAACGGGCGATGCTCCGATATGAATAATACTGCAACGTTGACGTTGGTGTTTCTTGAGCCATTTAATCGATAGACCTGGTAATATTTCGAAGGCATATACCGGTGCATCTCCGAACAAGACTTCAATAATAAGCGTAGAACAGGGGTCCGGAAAATTTAAAATCCCAATCGGACATTTGCATTTAGGCCACGCCCCCTTCAAATAGCGTATTTTAGTACAACTTTTCACACACATTACAAGTTTACGTATTCATAATATGATGAATTACGAATTGTTTCAATTTAAATTGTTTAATTCACCGGACAATTAATAACAAATAATATTATTTTAGATTTACATGGAAAACATACGTTTGTTTCTGTTATAATAACGATCTGTTAACGTAGTGAACGGTCTAATTAATATTCATGAGTTATATTCATGAGTCTGCTCAAGTGTACGCGTTGTAACATTTGGATCGAGACTATTATCCCATATTTGGTTATCACGTGACCTCATTGGAAAAGGTTTTTTTTAAACTAAAGATTTTTTTAAAAACAAGACAGATAATTTAATCACAAATACTAAAATATCGTTGATAGCAATAGTTATTTGAATACTTTTTTCATCTGTACTTAATTATTGACCACAAAAAAATTGGATATCGATCGTCCGAGAAAGCAAAATGGCGGTCAATCAAGATTCAATATACGACTAGCTACTGAAAACAATAAAATCTGCAAATCCTCATTGTATGTCAACCAAGTGAAAGTCGTTAGCCACGACTTACAAAATGATCGTCCAGACTTTGAGGGTTTGGCAGATCCGGTCGACTGGCTGTCGTCACGCCTTCGCTTCTTGTCTGAGGTTTCGTATCGTAGCATTGTGAGGATAATGAGGTACATCGATGATGCAAGGTATTAATGTACAGTTGTAAACACCTTTCACTCAAATTAACAAGATGTTCTCAGTAATTAATCCTCGATTAATCAGTGTCAACTCAGTTTATTGCCTATTACAGTGATTGACCGATTGGACTATCATGTAGGTACGATGTATTTACAGCAATCAAAACAAACAAAGCTTGTCAGTGTAGTTAATCTTCATTGTGTTCCAACTGCAGACAGAAACTGCTCAGTCCTAACTGTTGATCATGTCCGGTC